TTCCCCCTCTCCTCTATCCCGTCTCCTCTATCCCCTTTCCTCTATCCTCTTTCCTCTATCCTCTTTCCTCTATCCCCTTTCCTCTATCCCGTCTCCTCTATCCCCTTTCCTCTATCCCCTTTCCTCTACTCTCCTCCTGCCCCTGCCCCCATTCCCACCCCTCCCCCACCCTCTGCTTGGGTCAAGGTCACGACGCGCGTTCGTGGGGCCGTTGGAGAGCTCGGTCGGCGGCGGCGGCGGAAAGGTGCTGCGCGACGGAGCGGGCGGAGGAGCGTTACAGGAAAGGGCGTCCTAATGCCACCAATCCTGTGGCCTTGAGTCGCGTCGTTGGCCATCATTATGGTGGAAGGGGGAGGGGGAGGGGGAGTATATTTATACCCTTTAGAAGTGCGGGGGTAATATGCTACCATGAGACTGCAGCTGCTCCTGTGGCTCACCTTCCCGTCTTCACGCGCCACCCACACCTGTTATCACCACCTACGAGACGTGTTAGAGTACCTCCCCCCCCTTTTCTTCTCTCTTCTCTTTTCTTTTCTCTTCTCTCTTCTCTTCTCTTCTCTTCTCTTCTCTTCTCTTCTCTTCTCTTCTCTTCTCTTCTCTTCTCTTCTCTTCTCTTCTCTTCTCTTCTCTTCTCTTCTCTTCTCTTCTTTTTTTTCTCCCCTCCTCTCTCCTCCCCTCCCTTTCCCTTGTTAGAGTACCTCTCCCCACTTTTCTTCTCTTCTCCACTCCTCTATTCCCCCCTCCCCTTCTCCTTCCCTTTTCCCTCTCCCTTTCCCTTTCCCTCCCCGTGTTAGAGTACCTCTCCCTTCTATATTTTCGATTTTCCTTAATTATTACCGTTTCCTCGTTTTTTATTGTTGAGCTTTGTATTTCTGTAGCTCATTTTCCCCTTTTATCTCTTTGATTTCTACTTCAAGAGTAGTGGCTTGTATCGTCTCTCTCCCGTAATAACGTCATTATCTAATCTACTTGTCATTGTCCACATCGTTACCCACTTTGTGTGTTTCAATTCGTCGTAAAGTAATAGCCGGAAGGCGGGTGGGCGGGCAGACAGGTAGTTAGGCAGCAACCTTGCAGCCAATCAGGGTTGTATGCATCCAAGGGGACAGATCATCCGCCCGCCAGTTAGTTAGCCAGCCACGCAATTAGACATGAATGCATCTTAAACAGACAAGCAAGTAGGTAATTAGGCATACATCTAGGCAGTCAGGCAGTTTGATAATTAAACAAGCATACAACAAGGCAGCTTGGTAATTAAGCATACAGTCAAGAAGAAAGGAAGGAAGGATGTAAGAATTAATTAAGAAAGAAAAGAGGTTAGAAAGGCAAGTGTGTTTGCAGGCAGATAGGGAAAAGGTATTGTGAGAATCGGAGAGAATAAAGGAAGTCGTAAGACTACTGAAAATGTTGTGCAGTAATGCCATGTCCGCCCCATAAATGTGAGAATTAAACGAAGGAATGATGTGTTGGAGGTGGAGGTGAAGGCGAATGTAAATAGAGGACGCTCGGTAACGAATGCTAGATGTTCTTGAAATACGATAACATAGAATGTAATGAGAAAGAGAAGGCATTTATGAATGACCTATAGATGAATCAAGAATTTCCTGTACGTAGGAGGGAGGTTGAAATGGAGGTGATGCAAGAGATGTTGATGATGGAAGAAGGAAAACTTGAAAAGTAACAAAAAAGGAAGAAAAACAAAGGAGAAGATGGAAGATGAGTAGGAAAACAAAGAGAAAAAGAGATGGTGATGGTGGAAGAGGAGGTAGGCAGCGAGAATGAGAGTGATCTCATCGCGAGGGCAAGAATGTTGTGAAGGCAAGTGCAAGCATGACAGGCGAGATGGTAGGCGGGGGTAGTCAGCATCCTGATTTTCCTGGTGAGACGGTGAGGAGGCTCAATGCACCTCCTTCCCTCCCTCTCCCCCTTCCCTTTCCTTCCCTCCTCTCTCCTCCCCTCTTCCCCTCTCCTTTCTTCCCCTCTTCCCCTCTCCTTTCTTCCCCTCCTCTCCCCATCCCTCTCCTCTTCTCTCTTCTCTTCTCTTCTCTTCTCTTCTCTTCTCTTCTCCCCATCCCTCTGCTCTCCTCTCTCCCCATCCCTCTCCTCTCCACTCTCCCCATCCCTCTCTTCTTTTCTCTTCTCTACTCTTCTCTCTTCTCTATTCTTCTCTTCTCTACTCTCTCTCTTCTCTTCTCTTCTCTTCTCTTCTCTTCTCTTCTCTTCTCCTCACTTCTCTTCTCCTCACTTCTCTTCTCTTCTCCTCACTTCTCTTCTCCTCACTTCTCTTCTCTTCTCCTCACTTCTCTTCTCTTCTCTTCTCTTCTCACTTCTCTTCTCTTCTCTTCTCCTCACTTCTCCCCTCCTCTCCCCCCCACCTCATCTCCTTCCATATTCCTTTCCTTTTCGTCCCCTCTTCTCCTTCCCTTCCCTTTCCTTCCTTCTCTTCTTTCCATCTCTTTCTTCCCCTTTCCCCCCATCTTTCGCTTATCCTCCGCTTTCG